ATGGAAATATCACTTCGCCAGGTGGTGGCTCCCGATCTGGCCAGTACTGTGTCACCATGTTCTTCAAGTATATAGCAGCTGAATTGGAGGAAGAAGAAATAAACCTTATGTCCTGGCATAGTACCATAGGGAGAGCTTTTTGAAAACCCCACATTAACAGAAGAGTGCGAAAACTTTAGCCATCTAGATGTTTTGTATTACTGCTTCCACAATCCATTAACAGCGGGCATGTTGAGGAAGGGTTGACTAAGAGGGCCAAAGATTTCCAAACCTTATTTTAAACAAAGAAGCAGAGCAATTTATTATGAGAGTCCTAATGGGAAACAACAAGCATTTGAAACCGGATGAAACATTACAAGAAACAGAGGCTCCTTTCATTCACACAGAGAAGTTTGTTACACTGGAGTGGTTTCATAGTTGCTTAAGAGCACATTCCTTGTAGATGGAGTTGATGGCATGGTTTTTTCCACTTGAGTGACACATCTCTCTCCTGGTGGCATGACAAACAAGTGGAAAAGATTTATCCATTTAGATATATTTGCAGCCATATGGAACTGCATCATAAGGAAGCAACTCCCTTGCAAATGTCAGTGTCACAGAAGAAATATAGACCCTTTGAGAAATGCAATCCTTATAACTATTCTCATATATATGAAGATGTCTGAAGCCTCACACCATAACCCCTTCAGTGTTTGGTGTGCAGTTTTTATAGCCAAGAGTAAGGAAATTATATTCTAATAGTTCCACATACACACACACTCTGTTCGTTCTCCATTTGTATTAGCCTTTTTATTTACTACATAGATCTATATACTACTAAACACAAAAAGATCACAACAGTATACATCAGGAAATCTGCAGAATACCAAAAGTCAGAATATCAGTCAAATGACTGACAAAAGCAAGATAGCCATATCACTTTCCAGGGAAAGCCCAAATGAAAGATACAACTTAAATGGGAACCAAAGAGGAAGAGAGTTCCATAGGGTAGGACTCAAAGCCCTAAAAAAAAATTGAATTTTTTAAAGGCTGTGAGTGGTGGCCATAAGGCAGTCTTGGTGGCCTTAAGGCAGACTTTTGGACCATATGACACCATGGAAAGGACCTCTCTTGAAGATCACAATAAGCAGGTAGGCATATAACCAGGGTCATTTAATGGATATTTGCATTCTGTAAGACAGAATTGGCTATAAACTGAAATGCTTCACAGTTTACACTTTATGTCGGCCACTTGACAATTTAGAAGTAAATCTTCCTAGAGAAACATGAAGGACTACCAAGGAAGGAACACATTTGCCTGTTATCCTGACAATGCATTGCTGTACTGGAACAGTAAGTAGTGTATGTCAGGACAGGATAGGAGACTATGCATCATCTTCCTAATATCAGGAGAATATGCTGGTGTCTGGACCACTAGAGAGCAACAAGTGGGGAGAAGAGGCTTAATAAAGCTTTCATATCCTTAACCCCCTTCATACTCAACTCTGCAGATACGCTTTTTCATCTTGCTATAATGGTGGATGCCATGTTTTTGTATAGAATGTGTAGTCCAACTCAAACTGGGAGTAATATAACTCAACACTGCTGGTCATTTCCTACCATGCAATGACCTAAAATTCAATGGTACAGATATTGCTATGGACCCTAGTTTAGCTACCTTTTTAAAAAGATTTAAATAAAAGACAAGATCTATCAATGGCTATTAGCAATAATAACCAAGAATAGAACCACTGTGTTCTGAAGGTTTGCATCTGTTTGTTATATGCTATGGCCCAAAATCAGAATGACCTTCTCCAAAATGCCTGTGAGCTTCCCTTGGATTCATCAAATCTGGCAATTCTTTTGTACATTAACTTCAGGCTTTGCTAGCCAAAACCAGCAAGACATCAAAGAAAAATACAGTACTTGAATTTAATTATGTATGATTAGTAATTGAACCTTAAGATATAATATGTGGAAAGCTCACCTGCCTGCCGGACTGGGAATTCCACTTGATCAGAAACAATGATTTGTAGCAGACTAGGAGCAAAGTTGATGATCTTGTAGGACTGAAACGTATACATAAGATTGACTGGTAAAGCATGACATATTGCAAAATTAAAAATACTGCCCTCAGTAAGGGAGGGTTCCTACAATGTTAACCACTTTTAGAGAACATTTATTGGAAAAGAAGAATGAAACATATGCTTATCACTCTATCACTAAACATTAAAAAGCAGGAAGAAAAGGTGTGGCAGCACCTTTTAGACCTTTTTAAAAATTTTCACATTTTGTTGATATAATAAACCCACTTCTTTGGATGCAGTACAGAGTGATAATAAATGCTCAGGTATAAAGCATATTTATACAGTTGTGGGGCTGGGAAAGAATACAACAGGATCCAGAGAGATGGAAATCATGAAACATGAAATTATTGAACAGAGACTGGGTTATATTCAAAGATATAGCTATGTCAGTCTGTGTAAGTATACAAAGGGATCCTGTAACACTTTTGAGACTGAGAGGATAAGGTTGATAGTATAAGCTGCCACAGACTAAAGGCCTAAGCAGACTGCCAGAAATAGTGCACATTAAATTGAGGCACTGCCCTGGCTTAGTGCTAGGGAATCATGGGAATTGTATTTTTTTTCTGAGACATTGAGCCTTATCTGTCAGAGAGCTCTGGTGCCACAATAAATTACAGTTCCCATGATTCCCTAGCACTGAGCTAGGGCAGTACCTCAATTTAATGTGCACTATTTCTGGCAGTCTGCTTAGGCCCTAAGACTGCTTCATCAGTGTCTAACCCAAAGACTGAGTTAGATGCACTATGTATTAGTCTACTCTAAAGTCCAAGAGAGGGTTTGATAAGTAGAAGAGGAGGATGTTTATTTTCAAAGTATTTCTACCTCTAAACTCTCAGCAATTACTAAGTATAAGATATTCAGAAAGTTCCCCTCCAGCTGAGAAGTTTGAGGTATCTACATCTTGTATTTATTTTATGCATAGTAGTTTACAGTACTAGACTACCAACTTTTTTGTTGTTGAGTGCCTTTAAGTTGTTTCAAGTCAACCCTTTTCTAGGGTTTGGGTCTCCAGAGTCCCAAACTGCTACATCATGCTACCAATATATCTGATATTTGTAAAATTGTATATAACCAATACAGAAGCACTAAGAGGCTTTCAAAGGGAAAATTGTTACTAGATTAAGAAGAAAATTTATTTCCCCTGTGTGTTAGAATAATTTTTTATTGTTATTTGATGTTAAGTGCTGACTATTATACTCTTGAAATAATTGAAAAATAGAAATTAAAACAATTGGAGAAAGAAAAAAGAAGAAGAAACTGTTGTAGCCATTCTAATGGAAGTTTCCAGATGCCACTGCTCTATAAAAGAATGTTTTCAGATATCCCAACAATCAATCAAACAATAGGGCTTAGAAAACAACTTTGTTAAGTGAAAAGATGGATGTTGTATTTGTGTGCCTTCAAGTCATTTCTGACTTGTGGAAACCCTGTGGCCATGGGGTTTTCTTGGCAAGATCTGTTCAGAGGGAGTTTGCCATTGTCTTCCCCTGAGGCTGAGAGAACGTGACCTGCCCAAGGTTACTCAATGGTTTCATAGCTGAGCTGGAAATTAAACCTTGTCTTGAGAACCATAGTCCAACACTCAAACAACTATGCCACGCTAGCTCTCAAAAAGATGGGTACTAGATGTAAAATGCAGAGCAATGGAATCTGAACCCCCCATAGAAACAGATAGGACATTTTAGCTCCCTAGAATCCTCTTTATTACAGGATCCAAAGAGCATTAGACCTACAAGTAGATATTTGATGATACTTTCTCCTGAAGAGTTGTAAACATCATTCCCATGTTTCAGCCACCTGTCATATACAGGTTTGTTTAAGGTTTGTAAGAAACAAAACAGGTTTGTTTAAGGTTTGTAAGAAACAAAACCTTTGTTTGTAAGAAACAAACAAAGGTTTGTTGGGTATTTATTTATTTATACAGTTGTCCCCCAGTAACCGCAGGGGATCCGTTTCGGACCCCCCACGGATATCAAAATTTGTGAATGCTCAAGTCCCATTTATCCCAATGCACATGCATGCATCCATATCACCATTGGGGACCGCATGGGCTTGCCATCCGCGAATAATCGAATTCGCGGATGGCAAGTCCGCGGATACCGAGAGATGACTGTAGTTGAAAAAAATGTGTTACCACATATGAACATATGTTTTCTGGCTCTAGGCATTTGTATACTGTGGAATATCCCTGATTCTACAGCCAGAAAAACAGTGCAATACCCCCATAAGAGAATTTTAATCTACCATGCAATATATTAACATTCTCTTTGGGGATCAGAAAATACCCCCAATTAAAGTACTCAGTGGAAGGTGGTTTTTAAAACACTTGCCTGGGTAAGATTTAAAACCTTGTCCTAATTCCAAGAGTGTCCTCAGTACAAATAAAAAGTCCTGTGTGGAAAATGTCACTGGAAAATTCAAATTTTACTGGGTGTAATAACAGTGAATTGTTCATCCGTATTTAAATATAATACAATAGAACAGAAGAGCAGGTATATACTGTATCAGCCACCTCCAAAGTCTCATTTGCCATACCTCACCAATGTTCAAGACTTAAAAATATATTCTTCACAGTAGGCTTTGAGTTGATGGGGTTGACAAAGTTGTCATCACAACTCCTCCTGGTTCAACTACAGTGCTTTTTCTGCTCAAATATTTGTGGCGTTTCTTAAGCAGCCTTAGCTCATGAATTTCTTTCCGTTTTTACACGACCAACACTCAACAGTGCCAAAATATATATGAATATGAAAGAAATGTAAGCCCAAGTACTGGTGGATCAGCACCAATCACTCCTGGACAGCACTCCACAGTCTCTCTTGCTGTTTTCTTCAGGATATATGGTGCATAATTTTCTCATGCTCTCTCTGCAACTATGTGGGCTACAGAACTGAAATGAAAGTGAATATTACTGGCATTTTTTTCAAGAGGTTGAGAGCCAGTGTGGCATAGCGGTCTGGGTCTTGGACCATGACTCTGGAGACCAGGGTTCGATTCCCAGCTCAGCCATGAAACTCACTGGGTGCCTTTAGGTAAGTCATATGCTCTCAGCCTCAGGGGAAAGCAATAGCAAACCTCTGAACAAATCTTGCTAAGAAAACACTGATAGGGTCACCATAAGTTGGAACTTTGAAGGCACACAACACACAAGATTACTTTTATTCAGCAGCTGCTAGATGATGATGATGAGTTTATCAGCACTTTTCTTCAAAGTCAGATGTGGCAGCTATTACTAGCTAAATAAATAAATCAATGTGGAAAACTGTAATCCTACCTTCAGTGAAGAAAAAAAATCATGTATTATAAATATTGGCACATATAGCTGGGGGGAATGTTGCCTCATTTCATTGTCTAAATCAGAGCCAATGTTTTATAGTAGGCAGTAACATATAGGGGTTTTTTTGGGGTGGAGTTATACAATTCTTTATTAGTATTGCAACCTACATACAATAATATTTTAAAAAAACCTTTACATAATATTCCACATATATATGGTAAATCATATTAATTATTCATTCTTTACTGCCTTATCTAAATTAATTCATATCAAACCATTTAATATTGATTAAATAAGTAAATTAAAAACCCCCACATACAATTGTTAATATCTTCAATTCTTCTTACTGTCTTCTTTTCATCATATACTTTTCACAATTCCACAAAGGTATAATACTGTTAATTTATCTCTAATTCATTTTCCCCCTTTTCTTTTCTTTTCTTTTCTTTTCTTTTCTTTTCTTTTCTTTTCTTTTCTTTTCTCTCTCTCTCTTTCTTTTCTTTATTTTTCCCCCTTCCCCAAGTGCTCCCCACCACCCAAACCTAGTATCTTCATATTACTCTCCCCTCCAAAATTGTAACTCTTCCTGTGGAGGTGAAACACGTCCCTCCTTTACTAAAGCCTTTGATACAAATATTTTCCATATTACTTCAAAATCATTTCTCTTCATTATTTCTTTTTTACCTTAATTCCACAAGTTAATTTATCATTAATTGCTATTGGCCATACCTCTTTATACCACCTTGTATTTGTAGACCTCCCTGATCTTTCCACTTTTTTTTCTATGATTAATCTTGCCGCTATTATTAAATTTGTAATTATGTCCTTTCTAGCTTGAATACAGTTGATCTTATCATATATAGACAATAATGCTATCTTTGAACAAAATTCTAGATCAATTTCTGTTATTTTTTTGTCTCTTTAAATACTAATTGCCAAAATTTCTTTACAGATCTACAGCCCCACCACGACTATATGTACCGATTTCTTGGCATCCCCTCCAACATAGCCGTGAATAGTTCTTATGTATACTGTTTAACCTTACTGGCATTAAATACCATCTCCATATTAATTTATAGCAATTCCCCTTTATCCTTATGGATAATTTTTTTTAAATGGTGTTGATTCCAAATTTTTCCACATTCCTGAACATTTATTATTAGTGCTAAACATGTAGCTTTTAAGGTTTGTATAAATCTAACAGGATACACAGGCAAGTGCTGTTTGTACATTCTATCACAATGCACACTGCCTTGAATTTATATTTTTCTTGTTTAAAAAAGTAACAATGATTTTGCCAAAATGAGCTATAGATTAACTTCCTGTGGAGTCCTTAAATCTTTTATTTGGAGTACATGAAATCAAATGCTGGCAGCACAGGACTTTTGGGATCACTGGGAGCATCTTGGTTTCAAGCCAAAGTTCACATATGTATCATTTTCTGATATTTTATGCCATTTTTTAACAATTAATTCACCACAAAATCTCACAGTTGACTCATGGCTGAGCTATGATTTTGTACATCTGGATTTTATATCCCATCCTAAAGACTGCCACTCATTCTATTGCTTATTAGGCTCTCTGTTTATCACAGGGCTGTGATCTAACATACTGTAACTTAATGTACTGCACACCACTATAATTCTATTAAATGAGACAGTTTCTGTTGACTGTTTAGAAATACCAGGGCTTTTATATTTTATTTAGCTACCTAAAAAATGAAACTTTTCAAAATCCCACTTACACATGTTCAAATCCAAAAAAGAGATGCTGGAGAGAATATTAATTTGTAGGAAATTTATTACATGAAGTAATTAACATGTTTATAAGTACAGCTAAAATAGGTCTCAGCATTTATTTTGATGCCAACTTTTTTATTAGCTATTTTTTAAAATTCATTAATTATAATTTTGGTTAAATATTCTAAATAATCCACATAACCTAGGGAAAAGAGCAGCTTTAAAGTTATGGTTCTGCCCCCTCCCATGTTTTTGCTGATTTAAATGGTTGCTAAATTAGAAGCCACAACAAATCTAGGTACTATAGAATGAAATCAGTAGGTAAAGAAAGGAAGGAGTCCATAATCTCAAGATATGTTGACAACCGTTATGGCCTCAAAGCGGTCACAAGGTACTAGATTGTAGAACAGACTTGCTGCAAAGAGTGGTGGAATCTCTAATGTTAAATGTAATCTGTCAGTGATGCTGTAGCAGCAGATTTTCTGCATCAGCAGAGATGGGGTGGACTACATGACCTCTGAAGCCATTTCCAAGTCTAAGATACTAGAGACAGAGAGAGAGAAAGCTGTAAAAAGAGGAGAGCCTTGGGGCACCTTGACTGGATATGCAAAGAGATCTTTTGAACCAGAGACTAAGGAGTTTATCACACTCGGGACAATTGGAAGTATAAATGGTGATTAACCTGTGATAATCCGGCAATTGCACTAATGGTTTTCACATGTCGTATTCAAAGTGATCTCTCATGAATAACCCATGCTAACTGTATTTTTTTCTGAGACATTGAGCCTTCTCTGTCAGAGAGCTCTGGTGCCAAAATAAACTACAGTTCCCATAATTCCCTAGCACTGAGCCAGGACAGTTAAAGTGGACTCAATTTGCACTATTTCTGGCAGTCTGCAAAGGCCCTTAGTCTTTAAAATCAGTATGTAGCGATCTCTTGTAACACCTTTGAGACTAATTGAAAGAAAGAAGTTGGCAGCACGAACTTTCATAGACTTAAGTTTACTTCCTCAGATGCAGTCTTCACCAGATGCCTCTGAGGAAGTAGACTTAAATCTCTGAAACCTCATGCTGCTAACATCTTTCTTTCTAAGATGCTACAAGATCTCTCTACATACCATTCATATGGTCATCCATCCACCTTAGCCTTAGGCAATGGCTCTCCTCCTGATTTTGTTCCTCAACGATCATAGTTAAAACTCAGGATTATACCCACAAGTTTTGCATTTCTATGGCTATTAATGCAGTCTGATTATAAAGGTCCTTCCTGTGCAGCAGTTCACTCCATGCATCTGAGGAAGCAGACCAAGTCTACGAAAGCTTGTGCTACAACTTCCTTTGCACAGTTAGTCTCACAGTGGTTCCCAAACTCTGGTTCTCTAGATGTTTTGGACTTCAGCTCCCAGAATTCCTGACTGTCAGCCAACCTGGCTGGGGCATCTGAGAGTTGAGGTCCAAAACACCTGGAGGGCCAAAGTTTGGGAAACACTGTATTACAAGATCCCTTTGCATACTGATAGTCCTAACACAGTTATGTCTCTGTATTATTGAATATTATTCATTATTATACAATGAAAAATATTTAACTCAGTGATTCTACAGGGTCCTGTGGCATCCTAGTGGCTAACAGATTTTGGGGGAGCAGCACCAGGTTTCATGAACTGGGGGTGGGGGGCACAGCTAATTCTCCAGATATCCTTGGACTTCAGCACCTAGTATTCTTGACCACTGGCTGTGCTGGCTAAGGCCGATGAGAACTGCAGTCCAGTGACATCTGGAGAGCAAAAAGCGGACTGCAGACCTCAAAATTTTTCATGAAGCTGACTCCATCGCCCAGAAAAAGGGGACGCACTAAAAGAAATGACAGTACTTGCCCATAGGGAAACATTGGAAGATACTTGCCCCATAGAATATTATTGTTAATAGGGAAATGCAGCTCCACATAGCAAAACCATACTTGCCCATAGGGGGAAAACCATACTTAGAATCATAGAACCACAGAGTTGGAAGTGACCCCCAAGGACCATCCAGTCCAACCCCCTGCCATGCAGGAACTCACAATCAAAGCACCTCCCAACAGATGGCTATCCAGCCTCTGTTTAAAGGCCTCCAAAGAAGGAGACTCCACCACTCTCTGAGGGAGTGTGTTCCACTGTCGAACAGCTCTTACTATGGGAACGATACTTTCCCATAGGGAAACATTGGAGGAGACTTGGGTTTTTGTGGGCTTTTTTGGCTATGTCGCCATGCTCTAGAAGAGTTTAGTGCTGACGTTTCACCAGCATCTTTGGCTGGCATCTTCTAGAACATGGCCACATAGCCTGAAAGAAACTACAAAAACCCATGGATGGCGGCTGTGAAAGGCTTCGACTTCACATTGGAGAATAATGTGTCCATAACACACTCCCTCAGAGAGTGGTGGAGTCTCCTTCTTTGGGGGTTTTTAAACAGAGGCTGGATGGCCATCTGTCGGGATATGCTTTGACTGTGAGTTCCTGCATGGCCGGGGATTGGACTGGATAGCCTTTGGGGTCTCTTCAAACTCTATGGTTCTATGAGTCAAAGGATTTTACTGTTAACAGGGAAATGCAGCTTCCCATAGGAAAGCCATACCTACCCATTGGGGGGGGGAACCCACACTTGTCCATAGAAAAACCATACTTGCCCATAGGGAAACATTAGTAAGCATCCTCCAATGTTTCTCAGTGGGCAAGTATCCTTCAGTATTGCTCAATGGGTCAGTACTGTCATTTGTTTCAATAAGTCCCAAGAAAAAGTCAAGCTGCATCGTCCTCCTTTTGCCCCAGACCTGTCCTCCATTTCAACCTTCTGCCCAGGAGGCATTCCCAAAAGGCCCTCCATTTTCTTGAGCATGGCTAGGCAGCATCAACTGACATTTATAAGAGTGTGTTCCGAGCTTTTACTTTGTAATGTCCAACATTTCCCCCCCCCCCTCACATGTCTCCTATCCTGAGCATGACTTTGGGCCTGTA